GGGTGCCCCTGCAGCAGTGGGTGCCCCTGCGGCGATGGGTGCCCCTGTGGCGGTGGGTGCCCCTGTGGCGGTGGGTGCCCCTGCAGCAGTGGGTGCCCCTGCAGCGGCGGGTGCCCCTGCGGCGATGGGTGCCCCTGCAGCGGCGGGTGCCCCTGCAGCAGTGGGTGCCCCTGCAGCGGCAGGTGCCCCTGCAGCAGTGGGTGCCCCTGCAGCGGTGGGTGCCCCTGCGGCGATGGGTGCCCCTGCAGCAGTGGGTGCCCCTGCAGCGGCGGGTGCCCCTGCAGCAGTGGGTGCCACTGCAGCGGCGGGTGCTTGGGCAGTGCCGGGTCCCGGTGCAGTGAGAGGAGCCCTGCGGCGATGGGTGTCCCTGCAGCAGTGGGTGCCCCTGCGGCGGTGGGTGCAGTGAGAGGAGCCCTGCAGGCCCCCGCGCGGCCTCGCGGCGCTGCCGCTGCCTCCTGCTCTCAGGCTGCGAAGCCCTGCGGGAGCTGCGAGCACCGGGGGCCTCTCCGAGCACCCGTGTCCATCCGGGGGCAGTTGCCAGGGCAGCCCCCAGCCCTCCCTGAGCAGCAGGGAGTGAAAACCCACAATAAACATCAGCGTGCACAAGAGGTGCTGCGGTGCAGGGCATCTCTGCAGCCGTGGGGCTCTGCCTCCATCCCTGCAGCCCCCTGTCCCTGCAGCCCTCCATCCCCGTGTCCCTCCATCCCTCCATCCTCCTGTCCCTCTGTCCCTACATCCCTCTGTCCCTGTTGTCCCTCCATCCTCCTGTCCCCGATCCCTCTGTCCCTGCGTCCATCCCTCCAGAGGAGTGGTGCCCACTGTGCACACAGGAGGGGAAGGAAGGTTGCATCCACCAAAACACATCCATGAGCACTGCTGTGCAGAGTCAGGAGTTGGTTATTATTATTACTATTATTATTACTATTGCTACTATCATAGCTTTAATGCTTTTGCTGCTTTCTGGTCGCACACAGGCAGCAACCGACCTAGCTGCCAGTCCCCGCAGATGGACAGGGGCTGCAGGAGGATCCGCAGGGACAGGCAGGGGCTGCGGGAGGATCCGCAGGGATGGACAGGGGCTGCGGGAGGATGCGCAGGGATGGACAGGGGCTGCGGGAGGATCCACAGGGACAGACAGGGGCTGCGGGAGGATCCGCAGGGATGGACAGGGGCTGCGGGAGGATCCACAGGGACAGACAGGGGCTGCGGGAGGATCCGCAGGGACAGACAGGGGCTGCGGGAGGATCCACAGGGACAGACAGGGGCTGCGGGAGGATCCACAGGGATGGACAGGGGCTTCAGGAGGATCCACAGGGATGGACAGGGGCTGCGGGAGGATCCGCAGGGACAGACAGGGGCTGCAGGAGGATCCACAGGGATGGACAGGGGCTGCGGGAGGATGCGCAGGGATGGACAGGGGCTGCGGGAGGATGCGCAGGGACAGGCAGGGGCTGCAGGAGGATCCACAGGGATGGACAGGGGCTGCGGGAGGATGCGCAGGGACAGGCAGGGGCTGCGGGAGGATCCACAGGGATGGGCAGGGGCTGCGGGAGGATGCGCAGGGACAGACAGGGGCTGCGGGAGGATGCGCAGGGACAGACAGGGGCTGCGGGAGGATCCGCAGGGATGGACAGGGGCTGCAGGAGGATGCGCAGGGATGGACAGGGGCTGCAGGAGGATGCGCAGGGACAGACAGGGGCTGCGGGAGGATCCACAGGGATGGACAGGGGCTGCGGGAGGATNAGACAGGGGCTGCGGGAGGATCCACAGGGATGGACAGGGGCTGCGGGAGGATTCGCAGGGATGGACAGGGGCTGCAGGAGGATGCGCAGGGACAGGCAGGGGCTGCAGGAGGATTCACAGGGATGGACAGGGGCTGCAGGAGGATTCGCAGGGATGGACAGGGGCTGCGGGAGGATGCGCAGCCGGGGTCCCCTCCCGCTGTCCCGCTCCTGCCGGTGCCCGGCTCTGCAGCCACACAGCCCCTCGTGTCTCCGCAGGGACCTTCCGCGGCGTCTGCAAGAAGATCGACCACTTCCCCGAGGACGCGGACTACGAGCAGGACGCGGCCGAGTACCTGCTGCGTAAGTGTGCCTGCATCCCGGGGGCAAGCAGCAGGGCCCCCGCCGTTCCCCAGGCCCTTCCACCCCTCCGGCTGCAAGCCGGGCCTTGCTGCACTAATCCCTCCTTGTGGAGGCACCTTGGGGACAGGACCCAAACCTTGCCGTGGAGACAGGACGTGTCCCTGTGCCCGGCCTGGTCAGGACGCAACGACAGCCCCCATCCCTGGGCTCGTCCACAGCAGCGGCCCTGGACCGCTGCGGGGAGCACTTGGAAAGGGAAGAACCTCCAAACGGGCTGCTCTGCAAATGCCCCTGGCACACACGCGGCCGCGGGGGCTCTGCGCCGGGGGCAGCAGTGTGGGGTCCCTGATAGGGGGCTCAGCAGGGGTCCACGTTAGGGGTCTCAGTGTGGGCTCTGCGCCGGGGGGCTCAGCACGGGCTCCCTGTTAGGGGCTCGGCGCTCGTGCTGGAGCCCACGAGCACGCGGGTGCAGGGGGGCGGTGGGGCTTGGTAAGGAGCAGACAGCCCGTCCCAGGCCGGGCCCCTGGGGCCGCCCGGGCACTGAGCCCCGCTGGCCGCTCGCCCCGCAGGCGCCGTGAGAGCCTCCAGCATCTTCCCCATCCTCAGCGTGGGCCTGCTCTTCTTCGGGGGGCTCTGCGTGGCCGCCAGCGAGTTCTACAAGAGCAAGCACAACGTCATCCTCAGCGCCGGCATCTTCTTCGTGTCCGCAGGTGGGTGCCAGCATGGGGAGCCTGCAGGAGAAGGGCAAGGGAAAGGGAAAAGGGACTGCAAGGCCAGTCCCTCTGGCCCTGCAGAGCAAGCAGAGGAGGAGGCAGCAGCCGGAGCTGAACTGCTTCCCTAGGGAAAAACCCTCAGTGCCGGCTGCACTCCCAGTGCAGAGCCCCATCCCAGGGATGCTCCAGGCCTGCTGGGCACTCCAGAGATGGAGCATTTGCAGAGCAAAGCTCCTGAAACGGCCCTTTCTGGCATGGGAGCAGGGGCCACGGTGCCACGAGCCTCCGTCTCTTGCCAGGTCTCAGCAACATCATCGGCATCATCGTCTACATCTCGGCGAACGCCGGGGACCCGGGGCAGAGCGACTCCAAGAAGAGCTACTCGTACGGCTGGTCCTTCTACTTCGGCGCGCTGTCCTTCATCATCGCCGAGATGGTGGGCGTCATCGCCGTGCACATGTACATCGAGAAGCACCGGCAGCTGCGCGCCCGCTCCCGCGCGGAGCTGCTCAAGAAGGCGGCGTTCACGCGCCTGCCCCCGTACCGGTACCGCTTCCGCCGGCGCTCCAGCTCCCGCTCCACCGAGCCGCGCTCCCGGGACATGTCGCCCGTGAGCAAGGGCTTCAGCACCATCCCCTCCACCGACATCTCCATGTTCACCCTCTCCAGGGACCCCTCCAAGATCACCATGGGGACGCTGCTCAACTCGGAGCGGGACCACAGTTTTTTACAGGTGCACAACTCCATCCCCAAGGAGTTCAAGGAGGCTTTGCACAACAACCCGGCCAACAGACGAACGACGCCGGTGTGAGGGGGCCGCCGGCGCGGGCAGCGCCCTGTGTCGGGCTGCATGACGTGCTCCTCGTGACGGTGTACCCAGAGAAACCCCACTGCTACGGACAGCCCCACCGGCCCCCGCCCCAGCGGCCGCCTTTCCCCGGGAACGGCGCTTCCCGCGTCCCCTCCCGCGCCGGGACACAGCGGAACCACATGGGGACCCCTGAGCACGGCTGGCTCGCCAAGGCCACCGCCGTGCGCACTGCTCCTGTGTGTGCCATGGAGCTGTGACCTGTGGAGCCGTGTCCCATGGAGCCGTGTCCTGTGGAGCCGTGACCCGTGGAGCCGTGTCCCGTGGTGCCCGGCCGGCTCCGTGCAGAAGGAAGCGCCGGACGGGCCACGAGCGCTCGGGGAGAGCCGGGGCTGGGTTTCTCTCTGGCATTTCGTGCATGCATTAAATAGCTTGGAATTCAATTTTGTCATGTTGGGTTGGAAGAAACATCCCTTTGCCTTGTCCTGGGCTCCTGAAAGGGCTTCCTTTTTGCCTTCCTCCCTTTCTCCTTTCCTCCTTCTGGTGCACTCAGATCGTGGCGGGACTCGGGAGCAGAATTCCTCCAGTGAGTGGCAGCCACTAGGCAGTATCTGATTAACTCCCGGCGCGGCGGGACCATGAGGTAATTCCCTAAGCGGAGCGGGGCCGCGCGGTGCCCGGGCGCTGCTGCCGGGCTGGGGGAGCTGCGGGAGCAGCCGGGCCAGGGGCCGCGGCGCCGGGGCGCGATGCTGTAATGGAACATGACTGGGAGATTAATGAGCAAAACACCAATAAAAACGTCCAGTTTGGCAAGCGCTGCTGGCTGCGGCCGCCGGGACGCGGCGCTGCGGGGAGCTCGGGCAGCGCCGGGCGCGCGGGGGACCCTTTCCCACCCCAGAGTGGGTGCAAGGAGCCGCACGTGGCCGGGGTGTCCCCGGTGTCCCCATGCAGGGGGATGCGGCACTCGGAGCCCCGCATCGTGCCCGGGGTTTGTCCTGGAGGCCGGTGCTGGCAGGGCCGCGCCGGGCCGGGATGCGGCGGGAGCCGCGGGCTGGCAGGAGGACGTTCAGGCTCTAAACGTCACCGCGGGGACTTGGCTGCGGGCGCGGGGCCACGCGGCTCGCTGCGGCGGGCGGGCGGGCGAGCGGGGCAGCGGCTCAGCGGCCGGGACCCAGCTTCGTGGGTCACTTACTGGGGATCGGCCTGAGCTGCGGACAAGGGGCCGGATCCCCCCGCCGCGCCCGGGGCTGCGGCCAGGACAGCGCCTGTCACCCGGGGCCAGCGCCGACCACCTGGGGCCGGCAGCGCCCCCGGGCTCCCGCTCCCGGTAAATGGGAACACCTGGTGCTGCTTGGCTGGTGATAAATACCCTGGTCCTGGAGCAGGGGCTCTTAGCTGCCGGTTCTGGCTCCCCAGGGAGAGCAGCTGAGCCCTGCAGCCCATCCCAGGTGGATCTGCTTCCTTGTGCGTCTCGGCTCCCATCCACCCTGGAGGCTGCTGCGGTGGAGCAACACCTCGGTGGAGCTGCTGGAGCAACAGCTCTGCCCCCGAGTAAGGCTTTGCCTTTTCTCCCGGTGCTTCTCCGCAGGGCGCCCTGGCCAGGGCAGGCAGCCCCTCGCGCCGAGATGCTCCCGGGGCCCTGCACCGCTCCGGTTGTGGGGCTGGTGGCAAAGAGCGCCCGTGTAAGGGGCTTCAGGCTCTGTGCGGATCCTTCATCTTCATTAAGGTTTATTTGCTACTCTTGCAGAGGGCTTTTGTACAGGAAGACTTATTCACATGCTAATTGAGCCTCTTAATTGCAGTAGCTGTTGATTGCATGTATTAAAAACAGTTGAAGAGGGGTAGCATCCCCATCCTGGGGAGCGTGTGAAAACAAAGCAGAGACTTGTTGTGCGCGGCACGGGTGGCAGCCCTGAGCTCACCTGGAGCTCGCTCCCTGTCCCCCTGGTGCTCCTTGCAGGGCTGTTCTGCTAATGCATTAGTGCCCTACCAATGCCAGTGCATTAATGGATCCCAGAGCGCTTGCTGGAGCTCTGCCTGCCTGTGGCCAAGGCTGGCAGGTCGATTGGGTAGAAATGCACTAGTGGAGGTCATGTTCAGACCCCGTGCGAGGCCGGTGACCTTCTCTCTCCACGGCATTGACGGATTGATTGGATAAAACACAGATTAGGGATCCGTGCGTGCCGAGAAGCTGCGGGAGGCGGCGCAGGAGGGCGGCGCTGCAGCCCCCGCATCCCGTCCGTGCACTGTTCCCTCCGGCGCCTCCCTAACCAGGCTGCTCAATGCGTAAAGCAGCTCCCAGCCGGAACACCGGGGCGGAGAGGGGGATGTGGGTGCCGCGGGAGCTGGGGCTGCGGCGGGCCCCGATGGCCGCTGATTTACGGTGTTTACCGCCCCGCGCGATGTCTCCTTCGTGCCAGCGGCCGCCGTCTGCAGGAGAAAATCGATACCCCGGTGAAATCCAGAGGCACCGATATTTCTCAGAGAAGCGCAAATCAATACGGATTTCTTAACAGGTTTAATTTCAATACCCGAAAGCGCCCGTCCGGCCCGTTTCCCGACCTTTCCCTCCTCCCGGCAGGAAGATTAAGAAGACTTGTTTCAATCCAAGGAATTGAGCTGGCGAATGCCCCTCGGTGTTTCTCCGTGCTGGATGTGGGTGTGTGATCCTGCAGCACGTGGGAACCACACAGTCCATGGCCCCACGTCCAGAGCCTTGGAAGCCCCCGGGAAGCAGGGAGCAGCTGGAAGCGGGTCCGTGTCCCCAGCTGCCTCCGGATCCCCCATCCCGCTCCAGACCCTGATGCACGAGCGAGCCCTGCTCTGGAGCAGGCCAAGTTAAGCCCGTGTGGGGCTGATTCACCCCTGGGTGCCTCGGTGCAGCTCTAGATCCTCGCTCACTCGTTGCAGCGTGTGCTGGCTGCACCGAGCAGGGCCCGGGGTTACGCGGCCGCTGCCCCGCGGCTGATCCGGCTGCGCTGGAACAAGCCCGGCCCGTCTGGGAGCGACGGCGCCCGAGCAAACGTGTCCGCTAAGGTCAGCGCCTATCATTTCAATGTCAAATATAATAGCGGCCGTTGCCATGGGTTACTCGTGTCTCATCGTGAATACGCGAGCGATCCACACGGCTGGAATCACAGGGAGCTGCTCCAGGGCCCTTTCCCGCAGCCGCCGGCCCTTCCTCTTGCTGGTGCCGCGGGCGGCACCTATTCCCGCACTCTACACCTGGAGTTTTGGTTGCTGCGCGTGGTGCGTCTGCAGTTCCAACCGCTGCAGCGGAGCAAAGCCGGGGCTGCCCCTGCCGGGCTGCACGAGCCGCGCGGGCGCAGAGGGCCCCGAAGGGCAGCGCTCGGCAGGTAACTTTCCATGCAGCCATGCAGCGGGAGCCAGGAGGGTGCCCGGAGCGCCCTGGAGGGCAGGCGCTCCGTGGGCAGCCTCCTGCCCGCATCCTCTGCTCATTCCTGCCCGCTGTGCTGCTTTGCACGCTCGGGCCTCGCTCCCGCAGCCTCGGGGTGCAGCGGTTCATGGGGCGCTTGCTGGGCACCCCGCGGGCAGCAGCGGCTCCCGCGGCGCCGCTGGGTGATGCTGAGGGCAGCGGCACCTCCTCTGTGGGACCCGGCTCTCCCCATCGTTTCACCACCGCAGACCACGCTGAGCCCGTGGTCCTGCCTGCTTGTGCCTGAACTAACACGGGGTCCAATCCAGTGAGCAAAGGTCCCCGCTCCAGGTCCCCTTCCTTCGGGCCAGCTCCGCCTTCCTGCTCCATTTTTATCAATTTTCAGCGTTTTTTGCTCTCTGATTAAGCAGCTTCCTCTCCCTCCCTGGTTTCCTTAGCGACCCTCCCTGCGCCGGCCGCATTAGCATTCCCGGCGCGGCCGGAGCGCGGAGCCGCGCGGCAGCCGCTCGCCCCACGCTGCTTCCTCGCGTTTCCTGCCTCCTCCGGCCTCCCGGGCGGCGGAACCACCACGTTCCCGCAGCCGGCGGCTCCGCTGCCCAGCTCCCCCGCGGCCTCTCCTTGCACCGGCTTCCCGGCGCTCCGGAGCCGCCGCGCGACGTTCGTCTCCGTCGTCGTCTTCCAGCTCTTTGGTGCTCTAAAGTTTCTCTTTTCTTTAATAACACACAGGTCCTTGGGAAACTGCAAGGAGTAGCGTTAAGAAGCATCTTGGTAAGTTTATTTTGATGAAATACAATAATTATCGTGCTTAGCAGCTGTTGCTATTTAAAATAAGAAAAAACGGGGCTTGCATTGAAAATGTTTTGTAAACCATGTGCACCAACAATCTGTTCCAATGAAACCAGCCATTATGGAAACCGCATAATAGCGGGAGCTCATTATGGAAAGTTAAATTGCAAATCATATTTTGTTTCAAATGAGCTAGATGAATGCACAATTTGCCTCAAAGAAAGAGTTTAGGAGGCCTGTGTCGCTGCCAGCGCTGAGGCTCCGGGGCTGCAGCTGCGGATTGTCCGTGTCAGCCCAGGAAGCTTGGGATTCAAAGGAGCCTTGGAGAGGGGGAAGCAGGAGGAGGGCGGGCGGCTCGCGGCGCTCACAGGCGCTCCGTGACTCTCCTGAGCCGAGCTGCGGAGCTGGAGCGCTCGGCTCTGCTGGCAGACGAGCCCGGAAGCGCCGGGTGCCTGGGAAAAGGTGTTGGGAAGCGGCTGTGGATGCTGCAGTGGAGCCAAATCCTGCACTTCGCTGGTGCAAAGCCGGCATGGTGCCCACACCACGGGAGCGGGGAGGAACCTCCTGCCTTGGGAGCCGCAGCCGTCCCCGCGCCGGCCGTCCCCACAGGGGCCCCTGCCAAGGTGTGATTTGGGGACGGGGAGGCAGTTCCTGGTGTTCCAGCACCGCCTTTGTCCTCCACCTTCCCAAGGCTGTTGGTAGGTATGGGATAAACGCCACCGAGCTCCGTTTGGCGTTACGGTCTCGCTGAGTCAAAGCAGTAGTCCATGCTCCTGTGCCCGTGGGGTCCGGTGGGAGTCCCACCGTGGCCAGCAGGTCCCGGAGACGGGGCCGTGGAGGCTGCGGGAGGAGCAAGGGCAGGAGAGGGATCCGGAGGGAGAGCGGCCGCGCGATGCACCAGGACGGGGACCCGCGGCTGGGCACGGAGCCCACAGCTGCTCTGCGTGTCCTCACGGCCAATTTCAAGCCAGTAGCCCAGCAGCAAACCAGCAAAAGTAATCGAAAAGGCTAAAAAATGCTCTAAGCCATAAATAGCAAATACTTAGAACTGCAGGCTACCTTTTAAAGCACTTTTTGTATTTTATTTGTATGCAGGGCGCTCTTCCCGGTGCAGCCTGGGCTAGGCGGAGTGCTGGGAAGCCCAAGGCCCTGTCTGTTTGCGCCTGGTGTCCGCAGGGTGCAGGACGGAGCGGGAGCAGCCGCGCGCTCCGGATGGGCTTCCCAGGGAGCCGGGGCCTGCCGGGATTCAGCTGCTGCCAGGGACGCGCCAGGGGCTCCCTGCGTGCGGCTCCGGGTGCTGCCGGGCCCCTTGCTCGCCCGTCTGCCCCTTTGCGGGGTTTATCCTCCAACACCCTGCTGAAGTGTTCCCCATTGTGCAAAGTTCCCATTCCTCACCAATGCTGCACCGAGAGCTTCTGGAGCTGCCAGAGCTCC